TATGACAAAACCTAGGAGGCTGAAGCTTTCAGACTAAATCTTGAAATATGGAAGAATTTCCTGACCATGAGAGCTATCAAGTCAAAGAACAGCCTGCCTCCTGGATCTGTAGGTGATCCATCACTGATGGTTATCAAACAAATGGTTGTCCAACCATTTGTCTGGTAGAGTCTGAGGATTCCTGCCTGGCCAAGGTATTAGGACAGAAGATTTCCACAGTCCCTTCTATTATTTTATGCATTGAAAAATCCCTCAAAAGAAGTCAGAAGTGCTTTATTCTCATAAATCTTTGGGGATATAGACCATTGTAATTTGTTCCCCACTCCTGTAGACAGGAGTGATAGTCAACCCAAATTGTATTTAGAATAGATACAATTCCATGGAAAAGGAAAAACATGCACAGCTCCAGCCACTGGTTTTCTGTCTAACTGCTCAGAAGCAAAAAATAACATGACCATTTTGCCTGCAAAGTACCTGATGTACTGAGAAAGCCCTCTAGTTGTTATACAGAACACAAAGTCTTGAACTGGTCAATTTGAGTCCCCAGAATGCACACTGAAGCCCAAATGAAGAGGGATGACATTTCAACACCACACTGGAGATCGTCCCTACCAGTTCAAACAGAAAGGCTACTGGACAACAAAGTGGATAGTATGCCAGTAGCACCCTGTTCTATCCCTTCAACCCAGGATTAAATACAAGCCCTTATATCTAGATTGCAAAATGAGTAGTTTCCTGGTGATGGGAATAGAATTTCTGGGTATGGATGCAACTCTACAAACACACCCAACCTATTTACGTTGTATTTGGACATATTTAATTGATTAAATCTGGGCCACTTACATTTCTCATCCAAATCTCCATCATACAAATTAGGTTAGCCTGTTCATCCACACTGACATCATAGGTCATAAGTCGTAGATTAGAAAGGACCTAAGAGGTAATCATGTCCAACCCTGCCCACAATGTAGCATCACTATAAGCATCTTCCCCTCCAGATTGATGACTGTCCAGATGTTTTATTGCAGATTAATTTGATGTTCCACAACAACATCATGAAATGAGTAAGCCAGTCAATGACTATCTGGGTCATCAATAAGATGGGGTAACCCAGTGTTAGGAACAGCTCTTAGGTGCCGTACCTCTTGTGTTTGAACAGTATAACAAGAGCATAGAAATGGGAGCACAAGGCATCTGTGAGGCAAAAAACCTCTCATTCTTTTTATGCCATATCCGTTATTAGACGTTGGCGATCATGTTTTTATCAGCAGCCGCACGAAAAAGTGCTGCTGAGTTTTGTCCAAACCTGTCCCTTAGATTTTGAAGCCACGATGTTCTTCTTCTGCCTGGACCTTGTTTGCCTTCAATCTTTCCCTGGAGGATTAAATGGAGTATGCCGTATTTTTCTGGGTGTCGCATCACATGTCCGAAATATTCTAATTTTCGTTTTTTAATTGTTTTGATGATTTTCCTTGGCTTTCCCAGGCGACTTATCACCTCCTCATTTTTGATCTTGTCAACCCAGCTTATACGTAACAGCGGCCTGTAAATCCACATTTCAGATGCTTCTAGTCTCTTCAGGTGGCCTTCTGTCAGAGACCAACTCTCTACTCCATAGAGCAGGATAGAAAAAATATAGCATCTGACAAGCCTGATTTTCAGTCTTAGGCTTATGTCGTGACTGCAGAAGAGCTTTTTCATTTTGAAGAATGCTGTTCAAGCTTTCTCTATCCTTGTCTTTACTTCAGTGGTCATGTCCCAGCTTTCATGTAAATTAGAACTGAGGTGTGTGATCCTTTCAACTTTTTCTAGTGGTATTCCTTCTGAATTTATTGGTGGTAAATTAACGGGTTGTTTGCTGATGACCATGATCTTGGTTTTTGAGGTGTTAAGCTTCAAGCCGTATTTTTTCAGATATTTCTGTGACTCTGTTGATGAGGAGCTGAAGGTCTTCATGCTTACTGGCAAGCAGAACTGTATCATCAGCATATCTTGTTGATCCAAACACCATTTACTTTGATGCCAACATCGATGTTCTCCAGTGCCTCGTTGAAGATTGACTCAGAGTAGATATTGAACAACAGTGGAGACAGAATACATCCCTGTCTGACCCCTCTTCTTATTTCTGCATCAAATGAGTATTTTTGGCCTAGTCTCACATTACCTCTCATTACCTTCTTTAAACCACCTCTGCAGAAAGCTTAGCATTGCTTGAAAAGCACCTCTTCCGGTAATATCACTGCAAAATCAGCAGCTGCTATTATCCAGAAGGTTTGCTATGCTCGATGCAGAAAATTCTTTCCTTGGAGTTCCTTTCCTTTGGAGAAATGTGAAGATAATCATATAGCAAATCATGCATATTTCTTAACAGTGACCACATATGTGGTATACATCTATAAACAGAAGAATCCTAGTACACATAATGGAACCAATATACAGATGATTCTGTGCACCAGAGTAATGAATTAATCTGTCTATAATCAACCTTTCTCTCTTTGTTGGTCTACATAGAAATTTGATGTTACTAATGTGATCAAGGAGATCAACACAGTCCAAGTCCAGTTTTTGTCTGCTATTTTGTATGCTGCCCAACAGAATAAAAATCACCAAGCATACAAAGTGCCTCCAGAATGTCCTCCACCTGTGCAAAAAGGAGAATGTCACGTGAATTTCATCAGAAAGGTAATACTGCTGGGTGCATGTAGGTTATAATAATGATGATCAGAGGAAGTGAACCCTACCCTATCCTTGTTTGGTAACTGAACGTCACTTAAATATATCTATTAATAATCTATAATCAAGTGATACTTTCATAGGTCCAGCCAAGGTTAAGCAATGAGATGTACCTTGACTTCTTTGTTACAGGTAGCCCTTGCTAAATGACTGCTCTGTTTAATGAGCAGTCTAAGTTATGCTGGTATTGAAAAAGTAACTTTTATGACTAGTCCTTGTGCTAATGATTGTCACAGCATCCACATGGTCACATGATCAACATTTGAGTGCTTCACAACCAGCTTCCAACAAGTCGATGGAGAAGCCGGTAGTGAAATTGCAAGTTGTAGCCACTGATGTCTTGCATAATAACTGGGTGATTTGCTTAATGACCATCATAATAATTTGCTTAATAATTTGCTTAATAATTGCTTAGTGATAGAATGGCCTGTTCCAAATGTGGTTGTTAAACAAGGACTGTCTTTATTTTAGTTGATTGTAGTTATGGTATGCCCAACTATGAACTTTAAATATAGCTGTGATTCCTTTTTAGAAGTAAGAAAATAAGCACATTTTATAGTCTGTTATTCGTATCTTAAAGTAAAATATAGAATTGCATACGTTAGATTATGACAGGAAATATATTTGCAGAATTCATGATGTAGTTGTAGCTGATAGATTTTTATTTTCCTTTTCTAATACTCTACATCAGGCATGTCAAACTACCAGCCCACGGGCCGGATGTGTCACACTGAAACAGCGCCCACCCCATTGCCGGCAATGGGGAAAAAGTCCCGATACGTCGTGCGACATCACGTGACATCGCGAGTTTGACATGCCTGCTCTACATAGTTAATATTTAAAAAAAATTCCTTTATTTAAAGCTCACTTACAGTATATAACACACTTTATTGAGACATACAGTATTTGGAAACAGAAATGAAGAGTTTTCAGTAAAATGAAAAGATTATTTAGCACCAATGATAACAAAATAATAATAGAGAACAAGAGAGTTCATATAATCCATGCCAGCAAAAGTCAGCTGTAAACTGTTCCTAGCTGGTGTAATTGAAATAGAATGGATTAAAACAATTATCCAGCCCCTATTCCTTTCATGAATGGTGCTTTATGACCAAGTTCCACTAGAGAATTTCAACAATGAGAAAAGATGCAAACTGACTCTGCAAAGTCCCAGAAGACACTGGCACACTTGTAAGAATCTTGGCCAAGCAGTTTTGTATGCATTTGCTGTTCCCCCTGTTCCAAACTATTTTATAATAAGTTCGACGGGACTGTTAAAGACCCTTCACAATGGATTATTTTGCTACCCTAGATAAACTCCTAATAATCTCCTATTAAGGGTTGTCGAAAATAAGTCAAGTCAGTATTACCGATCTTTACATAAATTTTCTGGTCACTTAGAACAAAGACATTTATAGTCTGTCTTGTTAGGAGACGTACAAATAGACCTAATAAGTCCCTCTGTGTTCAAGGTGACCTACTCCCTCATATGTATATATTATTTAGGATTGCAATCCTAGAGTAGAAAGGTATGTCCACCGTTGTGAATGTGATGTGCTTTAATTGCTATAATTGAGATAAGAGCCAGTTTGGTCTAGTGCAGAGGTCCCCAACCTTTTGGGCACCAGGGACCAGTTCCGTGGAGAGAGGTTTTTCCACGGACCGGAGGGGACGTGGTTTTGTGTGCTGCCTGCATCCCGCAGATGGGCTTTGCTTGTTTGTGCGGCCCAGTTGCTGGCATGCCACGGCCTAGTACTGGTCCACGGACTGGGGACCCTTGGTCTAGTGGTTAAGGCACCAGGCTAGAAACCAGGAAATTGTGAATTCTCTAGTCCTACCTTAGATATGAAAGGCAGCTGAATGATCTTATGCCAAGAGTGATTTGCTCTCAGCCCAGCCTGCCTCACAGTCTTGTGGACAAAATAGGAGCAGAGAATAGTATTAGGCATGTTTGCTGCCTTGAGGTTTTTTATAAAAAATAGTAAAGGTGAGAAATAAATAAAAAATAAGTTCATAGGTGTGCATGGGCCAGTTGTGTGAATCCTTAAAAACTCCCTGCTCTTTGCATTTAACTGAGAAGCAGGCATAATACGTCAATGTGCAGTGCCCATGGTTGGTGTCTGTGACTTTTAGAACCACAAGCTTCAGTTCATCTGGGACAGGAGCATGGTTCTCCTAGGTAGGAGAGAATGAGAGAGAATTACAAGTGACCCAAGTACTTGTGTGATCCCATCTGAGAACCTAGATCTTTCAAGGTTTGTCTCTCTCCTGAAATTTCAGCCATTTTAATTTAATAAAGGTGACATATACATTTAAATATGTATGAATTTAACAGTGCTTTTGCCAGTTGAAAAGATTGATTACCCTGGAGTATATAAATTGTATCACAGCCTCTTTTGTATAGGAATAGTATTTGGTTACTCAGAATGGCAGGGTTCAGAAGAGTGAACTGAGTTCAAAGAGGCTGAAAAAAAATCCTTGTTGAAGCAGCTCGTGGCACACTGGTAACACTGAAGAAAAATGGCACGGTTGCATTCTACCTTGGCAGGCCAGTTCAGTGATAAGTATCAGTAGTTTGAATGACAACATTTTGATTACATGGAAGTAATTGTCAACCACCAATGTGCAGGCCCTCTGCAAATCAGACCTGTCCTGTTGATGGTTTGTTTTCTCTGCCCTACTATTATACACTGACTTTGTAGTAGTATACATAAGTAAGTGAGGAAATTAATCCTTTATTAAAAATAAATAAACTTAACCTTTAAGTTGATATAGCATGGATATGGAAGTAAAATGAGGGGAAAGTGAGGAAATTAATCCTTTATTAAAAAATAACTAAACTCAGGGCTTTTTTTCTCATAGAACGCCCAGAACGGAGTTCCGGCACCTTTTTTGGATGGAACCTTGTAGGGTAGGCAAGGCGAGTTGTATGACGTGTATGAGTTCCGGCATTTATTTTTTTTTAGAAAAAAAGCACTGAGTAAACTTAACCTTTAAGATGATAGAGCAGGGATATGGAAATGAAATGAGGGGAAGTTCCAGGAAAATGAGGGAGATGGACAATAAAGAAATACAAAGTATGTATGTATGTATGTATGTATGTATGTATGTATGTATGTATGTATGTATGTATGTATGTATGTATAAATAAATAATAGTGAGTTTACACTAAATGTCTACATCATTCCTCTGATGATCAAATTTTATAATGATTTTATAACACATGAAGACTGGATTCATGGCTTCATTTTTGATATTTTATATCTGCCTATGGCGATTCTGTTGCCTACATTTCATAGGGAACGTTCAGAGTCATTGTCTCATACAGACTTAGGATCTAGAAGGGTATGTGACTCTGGTCTGAAACTATTTCCCTTGCTGTATTAATACCAGTTGCTTGTATAGATTTGAAACTCAACATTTGCATCATAGCAGCAACCAAGCTGGAAGGTAATTGGGATGGCGATGGAGAACCTCTGTTCTAAGAAATGGTTATTTCCAGGATTATAAACTAGAAATAGGCACAATGCCTGCTTCACATTACTTGTAATTTGATCTACTGGCAGGCAAGCCAATTCCTGGGATATAGGGAACAAATGAGGCAAGTTGCCAAAATTAGTATGCTTCAGCTACTGATTATTAGGGTTATAAATTTAGATGGTAGGTCACAGTGTAAAACTTTAGCAAGGTCACTTGCATGCCCAGAGGTGGGAATTATGAGGCCATGTTTTGAGTACTGACCAGGGAGTGGTCAATAACTTTTTTGCCCTGAATGTTTTCATGTGATCAGAATCTCACATCTGAGTGAATGTGTTTTTTGCATTAGTTAATAGATCAGTTCAAGGGACTCATGTAAAGTTAATGGAAAGCAGCACGGCTGTTAAATTTTGGGGCTGCATAGATAATCTGATTCTTGATGTCTCATTCTTGGATTACTGAATTATATTAAACCTAAATTGCTTAGTTTTGAAAGCTAAACTCCTGAGGGTGGTTTTCTTCAAAAGTGGGAATTAAGTGGAACCAAGTCTTTTCTGCTCGGTTGGCTGCCCAACATTTTTGTTTGTTTGCTTGTGCGTATGGGGACTGATGATATGGGCCTCCAAATATTATTTCAGAAGCATGGTGAAGTTGCAGAAAATAGCAACTTTAAATGTTGTTTTCTCAAATCGAAATCTGCAAACTTCTTAAAACGACGGCCATATAGTGTGAACTCACCCCCTAATTAGCTGAAAATTTGACAGTCGTAAAGGAGCTTTTCAGGGGCCTGTCATGAGCTACGGTGCCAATCTTGTGGTACGGTGTTTTTCTCTGCGGGAGCTGAAATTAAGGAACCATGGATTCAGGAATAAAAACCTCCGTTGCTGCTGTTCTAGCTATACTTTTTTCTTTTGCAGGTAACATAGAAATTTGCCATAACCCTGAAATGGAATGTAGCACTTAACATGCTTTCAAAGTAGCCTCATGTGGCAAGTCATATGACAGCTTTCTGTACATTGAAATGAAGCCTGACAACTAGCATGTGACGAAGTGTATCTGTGTATCTTGCATAAATATAATAGCAACAATAATAATAAATAATTCCCTTTGGAGATAGAATGGGTTAGAAATGCAGTTTGTTTACAAAACTAAAAGTGTGAGCAACCCACAATTCACTTTCAACCTTCAGTCCTGTTTTGTGATCTTTTTCTTTGTAAATAAACCTTTTGCTTCACCACAATACCTCAAAATTCCAAAAATTGCCTCCACCTTCAGTTTTGCTGCATGAGGTGGCCATATCTCAATCTTGCAATACTGAAATGTCTTTTAAAAAAAATGCATATCCCCTTGTGGATGAATGTTGCAGAATCTGGTGTTCTTCCTTTTGCAGGTGCTCATTGTGCAGTTCACTTTGCATTTTGTCTAATTTATTTCAGGAGCAGTGTTCATTTAGCTGGGATTGGGGCCCCTCTTTCCCTACTCAGGGAATTTGGAAGGACGTTAGAATTGAAGTATATAATCTTTATCACCTTGTCTACTTCTCTGTGACTCCTTTCTATGGTAAGTCTTGCTTTCTTAAGTCTTGACTGAATGTGGGAAGCAGTGGCCTTTTGAAACTTAAAACTAAAGGCAACTAATGGCTTTTCTTGTTAATGTAACTTTGACTGAAAATAGCCATCTGCAGTAATAGAACATTGACTTTTTTTTTCTCTAGTCAGCCTGGAATTTCTTTTGTCTAATAGTTCATTCCTACCATTGAATTCCCATCATTTTTCTTCTTGTTTCCTCATGTTTCTAGTTATGAAGAAAGCCAATGTTTTTAGCGATCTGTCTTCAATTATGTCCTTACCTCTTTTTAAAAAATACAGAATTGATTTTATGAAGATTTCCAGTAGTTACTGTTGGGTAAATTCTTCAAATTCCCATTGGTTTAGATCAGGGGTAGTCAACCTTGGCTCTTTTATGACTCGTGGACTTCAACTCCCAGAATTCCTGAGCCAGCACAGTTGGCTCAGGAATTCTGGGAGTTGAAGTCCACGAGTCATAAAAGAGCCAAGGTTGACTACCCCTGGTTTAGATTCATTATATTGTATCACAAACTTTGAACATTGCCTGTTCGCCTTGTTTTCACTAAACAACCTTCTTGCTCTCCCCATATTAACTGCTATCACTATATTTGTCAGTAAATTTAAATTTAACACACAAATAGTCTGTCGCAGAAGCGACTGCCTGGGAAGGCTCCTAGATTGGGGCTGAAAGGCAAAAGCGGAAGCAGTATGCTCCGTCCCATATTTGGGATAGACCAGATTTCCCTGATAGATTGGTCTCACCGGAAAACACTTGCTATCAGTATACTTTGTTTCCAGCTTATTCACTATGGACCTGTCATATTACTTCCTGTGCTTTGAACAGATGTTGTCTGTCTTTCTCGGCTTGTCAGCTCATTGCCCAATCTCCTGGAAATTCCTTTTCTTGGCTCTGCATGTTCTATGAAGGCTTTCCTGAATACAGGCTTATGATAAAAGTGTGTTAAGCTGGATACAAAGGTTACTCAAAGTGCAAGGCCAGCACATGAATCAGCTTTTAATGTATCTGGAATCAGCTGTGCAAAAATGAGACATTAATACACGTAATCAGGGAGGGGTACTCTTACAATCCAAATATAGAAAATAGAAAATAAATGATTTTTATAGGGGCTCTCAGTATCTAAATGAGGATTTAGGAGTGAAGATCAGGTGTCTACATTAAGCACAGAAAGAGTTTGTACTTCTGGTAGACTGCCTAGCACAGGGGTAGGCAACCTCGGCTCTTTTATGACTCATGGACTTCAACTCCCAGAATTCCTGAGTCAGCATAGCTGACTTAGGATTTCTGGGAGTTGAAGTCCATCAGTCATAAAAGAATTGAGGTTACCTATCCCTGGCCTAGCACCTTCCATTTGACTTTTAAAAATTATTCTTACTATTACTGAGTGGTGGTGACACAGTGGTTAGAATGCAGTATTGCAGGCTAATTCAGCTCACTGCCAGGAGTTTGATCCTGACCAGCTCAAGGTTCAGTCAGTTTTCCATCCTTCAGAGGTTGATAAAATGAGGAGCCAGATTGTTGGGGGCAATATGCTGACTGTAAACCACTTAGTGCTTAAAGCACTATGAAGCGATATATACAGTAAGTCTAAGTGCTATTGCTATTATTTTAAAATAGATAAATCAGAGATTATCATGTTGCAAAGCAAACTGCCAGTGTCAAGGCTCTATGCCATGGCATTCTTTGAAAACACATAAGGTGGTGATTGTCTGAAAGTTGGTCTGCCTAGAAAACCAAAATAAGGTGGTAGTTGATCAGGAGAGGAACAGCCAAGAATAATCTCACCAGTTGTTCTTCTGGCTTTGCTCATAAAAGTAATCATTTTGTGAGTAGGCAAGTTCCCTTTTCTCTGTGGTGGCCGTTTTTTGTGGTAGCATCTGCAGGCTGCTCTCAAAATCTTAAAATGTTTCTGGTCATACTGCAGTAAGTAGTGTTGTCAAAGGTTTCTCTTTGAAATTCTGGGCAGATGCTATTGGAAGTAACTGAGGTTAGTGACCTGATAGACATAAATTCAGTTTAAGGCAGTTTATTAAAGCAAAATTAGAGCTGATTCTAGAATAATATCCCAGGGCTCCATCTTCCTACAAGTTTATATGTTTTATTATTGTTTTTGGAGGATAGATTTTAGTTAATTATAGTAGTGGGTAATATTGCCTTAAAACAGAAATACAAAACGTGATAGGGGATGGGCAGAGAGTAGGTTCATAAATATTTAAAAAATACTTTGAAAACATTTTCTTCTTAATTGTGTCTGAAAAGGTGATGTTCCATTGAAGTTTTTTATAGAATAAGAAGCACTAGATTAGAAATAAAAAATTAAAACCGACTGGATTTTGAAAGCAAAATTTAGTTTTCAAGCATGTAGAAAAAGGCTAAATGTCTTTTTTACAGTTTTACTAATTCTGAGTAGTCCATCACTTAGTGCTGCCCTCAATTTGACACTCATGGTGACCTCTTAGATCACCCATTTTTGAGATAGAGCAGTCTTAATTTAGCTGCATCCTAGGCCTTTGGGAGAAGAGAGGACAGATTATAGCATAACTTGTTTATCTTGCATTACTTTTTCTATTGACATGTGTTATGTTCAATCTGTGCATTTCTCAAGCAGGAGCTGCTGAGACTATAGACCATCATTGTGAATATCTGAGTTTCCCCCCCAGATTTGATTTCCAATAGTTTATAGCTTAAGCAAAGGTGTGAGGATAGTTTATCTTTAATACAATCAGGCTTCCTACTCTGTTCTTGTCCAAATCTACCAAGTTGCTTCCTGTCACTGATGGCCACTTTTTTGTAGTTTAGCTTACAATGAGTTGACTAAAGCAAAGAATATGCAGATTTTCTATAATGTGAAATAAAAATATCTCATAACCCCCATTTGATCCACAGCTAATAAAAGCCACTTCCCATTCCTAAACTACCTGATAAAGCATTGTTTGAACATATTTGGAATTTCCCACCCTTATTTGGAAATAACATCTGCATGCAAAATATATATTACTGAATTCCAACTCTGCAATTGCATTAGGCCATATGTTTAATGTGTAGATTTAATAATATGTTTCAAGGTTGCAAAACATAAATACCTGTGGTGTTTTGTTCCTTCAGGCAAGAGTCATTGCGTACCTGTGAAGGGCATTCTGTTGCACAAATGGAGTATTTCTATCCTGCTGGGTGAAAATTCAGCATGTGTATGAATATTGTCTGCTGGTAAAACACTCAACCCCTTTGGCCTCTGTATATGGACGATACAGGAGAAAAATAAGCTGTCAAAGCTTCTGGAAAAAGCTTGAACCTATTCCAGAATTTACACAACTAGAGTTGTCAGATTGTCAAAGCAAAATTATGAGTTTCCCAGCATCACCTTAATAAGTAGCCAGTTTCAATTCCCATTAGTCCATTTGGGCGCTTCTGGAGAAGAACTCACAGATGGCTGTCCATAAAAGAGAAGAGCAAATAATAAGAAACAATTGAATGTCTAAAATAGTCATGCAAATATTTGGAGTGGCATGAAAATTATACTCAGGTAGCCCAGACAGTGACTGGAATAATTGGCCTCTTTTGATCTTGTTCATGTAATTAGGTTCCTTTAAAAGAGTCATTTCCAAATTTTCTAAGATACAGATGCCAGAATTCTCAAGGGTAAGAGAAAGATACGTATAACTGAATTTTAAATTTTAATATGAATGGAACCAAGTAGGTGCTTGTGACAGAAAAATATAATTCACTCACTCCATGGACAATTATGGCCCATCTTTAATTATGGCCCATCTCTTTCTCTCTACACCAAAGACTGCATTTCTAAGGATCGCTCTGTTAAAGTATTGAAGTTTGCAGATGATACAACAGACATTGGTCTCAATTGAGATGGTGATGAGTCAGCATATATGGTAGATTGGAGGTTGAACAACTGGCCCTGTGGTGCAGCCAGAACAATCCGGAGCTGAACATGCTTAAATATGGAGATGTGAATGGATTTTAGGAAGACCCCTCCTACTTTACTGCCATATTCTGTTCTGTTCTGTTCTGTTCCGTTCCACTCCACTCCACTCCACTCCACTCCACTCCACTCCACTCCATTGAATCCTCTCTTGTCATTTTGTGATCCAAGCTTCAGTATCTGTCCTTCCAAAGAACAAATGGTTGATTTCTTTTAGGATTGACTGATTTGATCTCTTTGCAGTCCAAGGGACTCTAAATTCTATATTTGTACAGTTTTATAAATGCAGCACATTTATGCCATATGCTGTGGTAAGAGTGCACATAGAAACATAAACCTATTGTACTTTAAAAGAAATGCTTCCCGCATTTACTGATTCATAGGATTTGCCTATTGTGTGCTAAAGAGGTAATTGGTAAAGCTTCAGCAAAGTACGGTTTATTCTGGCGTATCAGAATACTGAACCCTTTCTGGGAATACTCTGATTGAATGAATTGAACTGGAAGATTGTTTTAGATGCTGCAGAAATCTTTTCTCATCAGTTTTCAGCATACTGATGAGTCCAGCACACCTGAGTGAACAAGAGAAAAGATTCAGACACAACAGATTCAATTCATTCTCCTCCAGCATTTCACCCACTTCACAACCTTGCAGCATAGAAGATGTTTTCACACATTTTTTTTATTGAATGCAGCATTCGTTTGTTCTGCTAAAGTGATTGTGTTGTCCAAAAGTTAAGATCTTTCCTCAAAATAGTGCAAATGTAGGGGAGGGAGTGCCCCAATGGTTGATGTCATTAAGTACAGCTGGTGTCAGGCAGAAAAAAAACCCTTTTATTTTTATTATCTTCACCTATCTGGTTTTGAGATATCTTTTAAAAGAGGAGAAATATTGATGAAATGCAATACTTTTACACTTATTTAATGGTGAGATTGCCGAGAGGAACATGCAAATATCCTCTGTTTCGTTGCAAATAATCTCTCTAGCAAGCTACTGGTTTCCTTGTTCTCACTTCTCCTCCATTAGCAATGCTCTTCTCACTCCGAAGTGTCAGTCTTGCCCTTGAAGAATTGTTGGAGATTTTGTTCTCCATTCTCCATCCTGAATCCTTCAGTTGCAAATTAGGAAAAGAATTTTAAGAGGCTGCTTCTGTGTTGCTGTAACTATAATAGTCTTGATACAGCATTTATCTTCTATGTCTCAATTTATTATTACTTGTCAATGGATGAGCAACTTCAGTAGCATGAATCTAATTTTCCAATACTTGTTTGAAGAGAGAAGTCAGTGGCAGTGGCCAATGTTTTTTTTTCTGACCTTGCCTGTTGTTATTGGAGTGTGGCCATTGCCAGGCCATCGAAAGACAAAGTCTGTTCGTTAACCCCCCAAAAGTAGTGCATCTCCGTTTTGTTACTGTTCACCTGCAATCTCCATCCCCAATGAAATTGGGCATGGTAGTCCACCATTTCTAGAGAATACCAGCTCAGGGAGACCATTCTGACTTACCAGGCTTATTATTATTATTATTATTTTTTCAACTTATATGCCGCCCTTCTCCCCATGGGACTCAGGGCGGCTCACAGCATGTTAAAACAATATAAAACATTTCCCCTCTAAAAGCCAATTAAAAACCAAATATTTGTTGCTGTGTCTTGATAAAATCCTTAAAATTTTCCCTATTTAAAATTCACCCTAGGTCAGACCCGCTTGCTGAAAAAGCCATGTCTTGAGGGCACGGCGGAAAGTTAGGAGATCCGGAATCGTCCGGATCTCGGGGGGTAGTTCGTTCCAGAGGGTGGGGGCACCCACAGAGAAGGCCCTCCCCCTGGGGGTCGCCAGCCGACACTGCTTGGCCGACGGCACCCTGAGGAG